TGCGAATAGTCCCGATGACAAATTCTTGCACCGGTCCGGCAGCGCGGCTTTATTACCTTCATCCTGCCCCAGAGCTTCAAGCTAGACCCTACGCAAAGCCACGGGGTTCACTCCTCTGGCTCAGAGAAAGAAAGAAGGGGGGGGGGGGGGGAACCAAAATAAAGAAACAAGCCCCCTCACTGGGGAAGCTTGAAACTGCCGAACGGTGCCGCTTTAATTACTTTAATGATGTTTAAGAACACCAGATAGTATAGGCAAATAAATAGCAGGGGCTGCTGCTGGAAGAGGTTTCCACGGCTTGCTGAGCGCAGACAGAAGGCTGCGGTAAACCGCATCTTCTTGTGCCTGACACCTCACCTCTGCACCCAGCTGACTGGGGTTAGCGTGTGTGTGCAACTCTGCACACGTGCACACGTGCACACGTGCACACGTACATATATATACATGTATATATGTATAAATATAAAAGCTACGGGAAAATAAATAGCTGGCCGGTGGCTAAACACACCCCCACGCCCAGCGCCTCCCCTACTGATGCAGCCTTATTTTCCTCCCGAGGCACCAAGTCGGGGTTCCCGTCTTCACTCGCCCAAACTTGACAACGTGTGTTTAAACGCCTCGAATAGTGACAACGGCGGGTCGCTACCGGCTTGTACACGTAGGGAATTACCTAGGCGAGAGAAATGCGCGAGAGAGGAGCCTAAACTAGGGGAGAACTGTGCCCCTCTGCAGCCCCTGAAACTTGTGTCGCGGCAATCCAGAGGTCCAGAAGCCAGCTGCGGGCAGGGAGGATGCTTCCATCGTGTCCTGAGATCTGTTTATTTCTTTATTTACAGAAGTGTTTGGATGTGCAGGCTAATCACCTTTAATTTTTCATTTGCTTGTTACAGATGTCTACCCCGTTGCTCTCAAGGTAATCTAGACAGACGCAGCTGAAAGCCTGAATCTTATGCCTTAGACATCAAAGCAAGCTCGCACAAAGAAGTATTTCTTCACAACGGTGAATCTTCATGGTAAGTTAGGATTTCTATGGCAATAGGCAAGTCATACTTAAATAGTGAAAGGCGAAGTCTGGAGCCCGTCCAGTCTTTTCATTAAGGACATAATATTTACGTCTAACAGGCCCTTTTTCTTGTGTATACAAGTATATATTTTTGTTTGACGCGAACTAAATCATTTTCATTTAATTTCCGGTAAACAAAACCCACGCGAACAGGGCACTTGTTCCAGACCATAATAAAAATGGATAAGACTGTCAGGAAGAAAAGGCCCGCTTGAACCGTCGCCTCAGCTCACTTTTGTTTCTGCTTTCTGCCGGGATCAGAGAATGCGTTTGGGATTTGAGGGCGAGTTTCTAAAGGCAAGGAAATGGTTTTTAAGGGGGAAAAGAAAAGGAGAAAGGTCTAATCAAGCTCGGGTTGTTCAAAGGGCCTGATTTTGGGGTTGAAAGTGTGAGTTTTATGGTGCATCAGCATGCCACGTTAGGATCGCTATGGTAATGAGGAGAGCAATAGCAAGCGGCCTTCAAAGGAGGCACACTCCATTTGAGACAGTCTATTAAGATACATTTGCACTGACCTTTGGTTTCATGCTAGCTTAATACACTCAATCTGCTCCCCGCTAGAGATATACTTCCTCCACCTAATGCACTTCGGCGGAGTTGGGGTTTGCTGGGCTTCGCCCTCCCCCCGGGGCGGGCTCCGCTCCGGCGTTGTAGCCCCGCTCTCCTTCTCCCCAAAGTAAGGGGCTGCCAGCCAGGCCCGGGGCCGGCTCCCGTCCCCTCTCCCCAGCATTTCTGACCGGCTTCTCGCAACGAAACCCGGCCACAAAGCCCGAGAAGCGCTT